ATGTAATTTATTATTCATTTTGTACAGTAAAATTACCTCTGAAAGAAAACCAGAAAGAAACAAAGGAAAATCTGGCAGCTTCATTTCCTGTCTATTTCGTTCGGAGTCTTTCCTCATCATCACTTATCGTTTTTCTGGTGGTGAACTTTGAGATGCGAAGCGTCTGCGGCCTCCATTTCTCAGATACGTGCCGACACAAAGCTTCGCCTTTCTGCGAACGGGACCTCTCGGCGGGCAGGCCGTTTACTCTCACAACAAGGAACCTGCGGCACTGTGCGCTTAGCTATTGTTTTTAAAAACAAAATGGCTGCTGTATTGAAATGAGATGGACTGTTTATCTTTCCTCCAGAAACGTCTGATGCATGCAGTACACCAGCTCACTGCTCTTGTCTGGTGGACTGAAAGCTACACCTTTTCTGCAGGCTTTGCGTAAAGCCGGTGAGACCATGTTTTGACCTGTAACTCTGCATATCTCCGGTCTGCCGGTCTTCCCTTCAACCTCTCTGTTACGTTGCCATATTTGTTTTGTATCTCTAAGTCTTTATTTTGTGAGATAAGCCTGGGGGCTGGACTGATCTACAGGAATTTTAAATATGAGCTCCTTCTGCAAGTAGAAAAAAAATACATTTTTAATGGAAGATGTTTTTGGGGCCGAAAAGGAAAATTTAACTGTATGTGGCTTTTACAGAAACATTTATCAACGCATTTGCTTACTGATGATTATTTATTAAACTGCCTAAACTCTGTGATGTAAAGCGTGCAAAAATGTACACAAAGGCAAAGAAGCTGATGAGAACTGAATTATATTACATGGTCTTTCTAAGAATGTATTTTGGTTATATAAATGGGTATTTGTTTGTTCTGCTGGCACAAAAATATATTATAAGGTATTAAATATCCCTTAAATGTGGGAAATTACAGCCGTACTCTGAATGCATGATATATGCTGTGACATTTTAAAGAAGCTGTTTGTCTAATAGCATTGTAGCACTGTATTGTAATTGTATCCATCCCTGGACGATAATGTACATGGGGAATGTTAGTGTTTTGTGTCACTGCTGCTAAAATACGACCGAAATGGCCTCAGACGACACTCCTTTTATCATGGAATCTATCAGGCCTCGTAATTCTCCGTTTAGTGCGTGCTGCAAAACCAACTGGTCATTTACTTAATAAAAAAATTATTTCTATGTCACCAACTTGGTTGATTCATTTTGTCTGTCAGTTTTTTTTTTTTGTTTGCAGACTGGAAGAAGCTTGTCTAGTTAGTCCCTACGCAAAGGACACTGAACTGCGTGCCGACGTTAGCGTTAGCCTGCTAGCTCTCAAGATCTCATACTCAGAAATCCCTACGCAAAGGACACTGCACTGTGTGCCGACGTTAGCGTTAGCCTGCTAGCTCTCAAGATCTCATACTCAGAAATCCCTACGCAAAGGACACCACTGTGTGCCGACGTTAGCGTTAGCCTGCTAGCTCTCAAGGTCTCATACTCAGAAATCCCTACACAAAGGACAAGCGCTTTGCCACAGCACCATGGTAACTCACAACAAACACCCATCAGAGTGGCTGCTCTACAGACCCGGCTAACCCGAGGAAGTGAGGCCAGGTAAAATCATAATTCTGCAACTGGTTAATCCAAATGACACTCCCTGTCTGAAAGGGGCTGGTCTTCCTAGTAATAAGTTTGGCATTAAAGAAAATTCGGCAAATCCTGCAGCTGGGCAAATTTACTCGCAAAACCAGTGCTCCCACTGTAATTCCTGCATTTGCACTGACAGATATAGAGATTAGTGCTGCCTTGACCAAATCTGTTTCTTGAGAAAGAATGTCCCTGAGACAATGTCCTGAACACTGAGTGTATGTTTCACTGACACCATGGTGACCTGAAAAGGCTGGTAAAGGAGGCGTTTTAATTGCCCTGGATCGTGGAAGACAAAGACCCTGAAATGGAGAGTGAACTTTCCCAGCTAGGTGGTGAAAAAAGCAGACCTCAAAGCAGGCTGAGAGAGGCGTCTGGCTGGGGTAACACTAACAGCACGGTAAGTGCACCTCCTGCTATAGCATGACCTGATTACTTAACTGGGGATAGGCAGATTAATGCTCTGCATGAAATTTGTCTCAAACTATGTGTGGTTACCAACTATGCTAGAATATATGGGGTACATGGTTAAACAATACGAGCCTTTACATTTCTGGTTCAGTGGGCTTTGGATTAGGTAGTTAACTTCAATTACTCTGATACAATTTGTAGAAATATCATGGCTAATAATCTAAACTTAATGACTGGGGGAAAAAAGCTTTTAATTAGTTTATTAATTTTTATGTGAAATTAAAAACCGATGTTAGCGCCAAAACGTGAGGTTTACCCCTTACAGACAGTCCTGAGTTCAGGGGTAAGCCTGGATCCATCAGAGGTCGGTCCTCGGCTCTGGGGAGCGGACACAAGAGAGGCAGTGATGGGGAGGGGGCTCGACGAGGGGGGCGGCATGGGCCAGGAACCATGGGGCAACGAAGATGAGGACGACGGCACTGATCCAGAGCCGAAAGGTAGTGCTATCAGTCCTCTCATTAAAAGCTGCGGGGTGAATCACACGTGGAGTAGAAAGATATCAGGCAAGCAGCGGGCACCACGAGTGGATAACCAGTCTCCAGTCAAGTAAATCACTAATGGGCGATGAGTCACACTTTCGATTTATAAGAGTTTCAGGCCCTAGTGCTTCTCATGTCGGCATCTGGCCTTCCCTTCGTCGGCGAGATGGAGGTGTCTGCTTCGCGCGGGATTCTCGCCACACAGCTCGTCTGCATTTTAATGATTTCCCTCTCTGTGTTTGTTTTGATAAATCAATGTGCATTGGCCTTGGGGAAAAACGGCAGAATATATTACACATAAGCTGAGCAATTCTGAGTGACTTTGAGGCTTATAAAGACCGGTGCCTTAGAAGACAATGTCAGCTACAGTTTCCTGCTCAATTGCCTGTACAATTGAGTGCCTGTGGGCACCGATGGATATGGATTTGGGAGCTTTGTGGGATCTTTATTGTTTTTTTTTTTTTTGAAGATGTGAGGGAGATGTACAACCCAACTGGGCAGGCACGTTATGAGGCAGCCTGTGAGGTGTTTGGTGTGGTCCCCATCTCTTACTTCCTATGTCACATGCATGACAGCGAATTAACCATGATGCACCACGGCCTGGGACCCCAGGTAAGGTCCTGTCCTACATAAATCACAAAACTCTGTGCGCTAAATGCTCACCCTGCTTCAGGTCTGATGAAGGAACTGGCTGATCCTAACCAATCCTAAGCAAAAACGCCCGGTGGTCTTACCTGGGACCCTATAAAACCTGATCTCAGGGCCACGGCCATTCACACAAAGCACTTTTTGCATCTTCCTTCTCGCGACGGAGGAAAATCTCTCAGCAGTCACAGCGTTCTCACGCTGAGAAAATTCTTTCGCAGGGTACCAAAGCCCTGGCAGTTCCCTTGGTAACCAACACTTACATCCTGAAGCTGAACCTGAGGGATAATTGGATGGAGGCGATGGGTGGAGCCGCCTTGGCTGAGATGTTGAAAGAGAACTGTTACATCACAGGTGCTCGATGCCGATGCTCCCAACAGCTTGTTGGTTGCCAAGTGTGGCGGGTGCCTCCTGACACTCAACAACACTGTGCGTTTCTCTCTCACGTTTCGTTTGAGGACTGGTGTCCGTTCCTCTTTTAGCTGCAGGAGCTCCATTGCCACAGGAGATGAACGTGTCTCCTGATTTCCCCCCTAATGAGCTGGTTATTTGTAACAACACAGAACTTTTTCGGCACACAGAAGGAAAATCAAAAAGAATAATTCATAAAAATGGCTAGATTATTTAGCTGTTTAGTGGGCAAACGTGTGTCTCGTACGGTTCTACCCCTTTTCAAGCTGGATATTTTAAAGCAAGCATTTCATTTTAAGTAGCTCTCGTGGAGATATGGCACCAAGTTTCTAAACCTGCAAGCTTTTGGTCAGAAGTCTAGTTTGTTAGTCACTTCCTAAAGTGTTCTTCTTTGAAATGATACATCTGCACAGCGTAGAAAAACACTGTGAGCAAAGCAAAATGACCATTTTCACCGCAATGCCTTTGACAGACATTGATTTGTCTGAGAACCGGCTGGGAGACATGGGGGCCAGTGCCATCTCCAACATGCTCCTGGAGAACACCACGCTGATCCGACTGAACCTCTCCGCCAATAACTTCGGTGACCAGGCAGCCGCGGGTCTGGCCAGGGCCTTTGTGGGAAATCTAAAACTCCAAGACCTGGATCTGAGTCGCAACACCATGGGTGAAATGTCAGGTACCTCAAAAGATCACATGTATGACATAGACCAGCAGTTCTCTTCCTCCTCTTGAGTACTTCAATCAAATGTTCCATTCCAACACAAAACAATAAGTAAATCAAATTCAATGGGCTTTGATTCAGTTAAATCAAATGCTCCGATGGTGAAATTAAGTGTGAGATTGGCAGAAATACATGGTGAACAAATAGCATTCTAGCATTGTTTGCATAAGCATTACTTTATAGATGTGGCACTGAACTCTTCATTAGAGTCTAGGAACAACATCCACCAATTAATAAGCTTGAAAACAAAATGGCTTGACTCATACCGAATGTTATTGAAAAACTGTTATTAAGTGAGGAATAAAGGAGTCTGCATAGAAAATAATCTGAATATTCCATAAACAGGTTAATTAATACTTCTGAAGGAAGTGTGTAGTGTGGAAAGCATAAATTAGAATTAAACGCTCAGAGAGCGATGCGTTTGATGTTACGTTTGTTTCCAGTCCGGTGTTTGAAGTTCCCCAGCCTACATTCGAGAGGTGTTGAGGCATTCACTCAAGTCCGCAGAGCCGGGGGGGAACGGATGTGTCATTCCCAGGTTACCGTGGAGCTCTGTGGCATGTCACGGGTGGTCGCGGGAGCCGGGCGGTGACACATCTCGGCACAGAGAGTCGGGGTCAATTCTATGAATTTTAAATCTGAATCAGTTGCTTATATGTGATATAAGCCTGAAAGAAACGCACCTCAGGAGAATGACAAACGGTACCAATACACTCATGTTCTTGGTAAGTGAATAGAAGGCAATTTCTCAATAGACCAAGAAAAGAAATCAATGAGAAGACCTGCACGTATATGACTAATGCCTCCGTCAGGCACCATGCCAGTTTACTTCCTCACCCGTTATGCATAACCGTAACAGATTTTTTACGTCTGAATATACCCCATGATAGAAATTGGTAGGTCTCCACGTTGACTGACCTGCAGGGTGCACCAGGCATGCCTTGCCATGTTGTTTTTTAAATCATGATTTTATTAGATTTCCTGATACTGTTATTGCTTTGTCTGGGTGGAAAAGGCTCTTGATCACATCAACGGTCTCTATAATCTGTCTATATCAGAACAATATCGGCCATCTTTGAAAACATTGCCGAGATGAATTATTTGAAATTTGTTTTTTTTTTTCCCCTCTCCTCTCCTTAGGGGAAATTCTCGGGGATGCTATTGCAGAAAACACCGGTCTAAGGAAGCTAAACCTGGCCTGGAACTGTATCCGTGGGAAAGGCACACTGGCTGTGGCTAAGGGCCTTGGGGTAAAAATGACCTACTCACTCCCACCTGAGCCAAAAACACAAGGACAAGAATGCAGATGTGCTGCCCTTGTCTACACACTGCAAGTCCTGGCTTCTATTTCACCAATCTAGTAGCAGACAGTTAATTCTGCCTCTCTGCTTCTCTAGATCACGCTATTGTTCACACAAAACTACATTCTGTCACATTGTAGTTTCTGCACAATGCTGGGTAAACAAAACAAAATTAAGTACAATGCTAAAAATAACAATTTAGTGCAATGCTACATTGGCTGATATACGATGCATGCTAGTGTCCAACTCGTAGCTACTTATTCTGGTCGAGATCACATGTGGGCCTGGACCCTATCCCAGGCAGCACAGGGCACAAGGCTGGGGTTCACCCTGGATAGGGTTCCAGTCCCTCACATAGCACACATTTACTCATACTCTACTGGCAGTTTGGAGATGCCAAGTAACCTGTCTTTGGACTGTGAAAAGAAACCAGAAAACCCAGAGAAAATCTACGAGACACAGGGAGAACATGCAAAGTGTGCAGATGAGGTCAGACTAATGAAGTTGTGAAGCTGCAGTGCTAATTGAGCCACCATTACTGTGCTTCTTCAATACTATTTTCCCGAAAATAGCCTTTGACAAATATGCACGTCTGACCCGTTCTACCAGGCAAACATATTCCTCAGAGTTCTGGACTTGTCTTACAACGGATTTGCAGGCGACGGGGCAGCAGCCCTAGGACAGGCACTGAAAGCAAACAACGTCTTGGAGGAGCTGAATGTCAGGTGATGTGCTGGCTGACCATGAGCTTTCACAGGGTTTGTTGCACACTGGTAAAGGTCAAAGAGCCAGGAGCAAAACCAGTCAGTAGCAACGTTATCTTTTAACAATATAATAGTCAGAGGATAGGAAAACAGGATGGTGTCCTGGATGCACAAAAATCAGCGTTATTAACGCACACTTTTAAAAATTATGGTAGAATCACCACTAATGAAGACTCAAAATATTCAGGGCATGTGGACAACTTCAGCAACAACTAAACTTCCTTAGTGCCTCTGTGACTCAGAATCATAGTTAAGCAATGAGTTAATGTTCTTTAAGAGCTGGCATGTAAGTCTTTTTAGGGCAATCACTAAGCGGCCAAAACTCGCCAGGAGAGAAACCACCAGGGGATAAATGAGATTCTGCGACAAATAAAATAAACAAGTCAATCAAAGTTAAACCAGCATGCACTGCAGAGCCTAACAGTTTTCATTTTATTTACTACTTTTCCCCATAGAATTACTGATTCCCTCTCTACACCTCCTGTGTCTTCCACTTTAAAAAAAAAAGTTAAATGTGTTTTGATTAATGATTAAATATACCTGGGGTTACATTACAGAGATTCGTGAAACGAACCCTAAGTGTATCACCTCAAATCCGCTTGGTTCTGGAGGACATCACTTGCCGCACGTCTCTGACACCCAGCTTGTATGTGTTATTTTTCTCATTCTAGCAACAATCGGATTCCCCCTGACGGCGCGATCCGGTTTGCGACTGGTCTGCGTGTAAACAAAACCATCAAATCTCTCAACGTAAGATCTGCGCTCGGATCTGGGCTCCGGGGCCCCCCATGTAGAGGGCGGACATTTTTAGCGGGGGGGCTGTGGCTGGGCTCGGCCAGGTGGATGCCTTTTAACGCTGTCTCAAAGTGACATGTGACTGAAGGCGCGCTTTTTGACGCGATGTGACAGTGTCAGAAGCGATCACGGGGATGGCCCCGTTTTTCAGTCCGTGGCCTTTTCAGTCACGGCTTATAAACATCGTGACGTGTGTTTGCCTTTTGTTTCTGTTGGCACTGGCAAAGATGTCCCGGAACCCCCTGCAATCTGCAGGCTGTTACGGTGTCCTGAAGGCCATCCAGGGAAACCCAGGGTCAGCAGTCGAGTCCTTGGATTTTTCTGTAGGTTGCCATTATTTTTCTGTCTTCAGAATGCCTCCCTTTTAGTCACTTTTTAGAGGTTTTAATGAACATACAACTTTTTCCTTTTTTTGTAATTTATTCTCAGGACATCTCTGTAAACAAGGACTTTGAGGATTTGTGCAACGCAGTCAAAGGTGCATTTCCGGGCCTGCAGGTGAAACACGGAGGCAGCTCAAGCATGTTCAGAAGAGGCCTACCTGCTACCTGTAGGCCTACCTGCTAAGTGCGGGCAGGACCGGGTAGCTGTGTAACGATGGGACTGCAGTGCCCGCAGTGACTACATTTCACCACAAGAGGGGAGTCTCTGTTCACATAAATATGCTAATTTACCTATTAGTGTTTTACAAGTATTCCTTTAACTTTTAATAAAATCTTTTGTCTGTATACACACAACACCAAAATGTAAAACTGTAATACTAACCAAAAACTGTACAGTACAGCTTTCCTGGCTAACCCTAGGACCAAATCTAATATAATGGTGGAATAGATCAGTGTAATATTAAAATAACAAATATTTGAAAAACATAAAGTTATTCTACCGTACCCATATAATTACATAAAACCAAATTCAGCAATAATGTTTAACTTGTTATCAGAGATAACCACACTCTCACACTGGACAGCTAAAAAGATTTGTCAAGGGAGAGGTTAAAAAGGAAAACGTGCAAGAGAAAAGGGACTCTTGGTATGAAGTTACAGGGTGAGGTACAGGGAATGATTTTAGGGAAACCCCAGGGTAAGGCATAGGTTACATGTAAGGAACAGGAGACACAATCAATAAAATTTGCAGGTAGTTTTGAGAAATTTAATACTGTGCATATTTTACCCTTCATGCTAAGTGGTATAAATACTCATTGTATTTAAGAAAATAAACATGGATTTAAATGTACTGAAAGGACAGTGCATTGACGCATTTCTTGTTATGTGTTCTAATTGTTGACACTTATCCCATGTTGTCTTTTTAGAATATGAAACAGAAATGTAAGATGTGAACTTAAAACGGCCATCTCCAGGAAGAAACGGAGAAAATCGGCCTTTGAGAGGAATAAAATGAAATCATTTAACATCTGAGTGACACTTGAAACACCGGGATATGTGACTCACTAAGCCGAGGTCAGAAGCAGCCCACTCAGGGCTGAAATTACGCGCACTTGACCGGGACCCATCGGCTCGGGGATCAACGTTTGTACTTCGCTACAGGATTTTAAAAAATCCCCAGCTAGGCTTACTGGCTTTAGACTATGGGTTTTAATTAGTTTCTATATGACACTTAAATCACCGGGTCTGATCCGAGGTTGTGTTATCATTATTTTCAGCTAAAGTGCTTTGTCTGGTTAGTTGAAAACTGTTAAACGTAAAGTGCTTCTGTGGCGAAAAACATTTAATACAACATTAACAATAGTAATGACTGGACAAATAAACTTTAAACATCTGATCCTACAAGATTTATTACATTTGGCACTAGTGTTGATATTTTATACATTATAATCTGGCATCTAGCATAACATTGACTGCATACTTGGAGCATTGACTTTAAAATAATGGAAAAAGATTTATATCGACCAGTTTACCGGTAAACGTATAGGTTGCTGTTGGTCTTTTAAACTTACGGGCAGATTATTACGTGCAACGGGGCTCTTTGCACCAAAGTATATGTCATTTGTTAAAACTGGACATATTACACACACACACACACACAAGCAACTTAATATATTGCTTTAAGACATAAACAAGAATCAGACACCTGTGTTTATGCTAAGAAACTACCATTTCCTAGGGTGACCATACGTCCTCTTTATTGGGACATAAAATTGCTTGAAATGCCCCGAATTTCCTTGCTTTAATTCATTCTGACTTCGGCTTCCTGCAGCCGCAGCGCTGCCCACGTGCTAGTCCGCGCCTTACGTACGGAAATCGGCGATGTCGCCTCGTTACTTTCCTGTCGCCGCCGCGCTTCCCCACATGCGCGTCACCGCGCCAGCAGGAACTAGTGCGACCTGCGGGACGCGATCGAGCGCAGCCGCTACGCGTGCAGATCAGCGACTATTTCACATTGAGCGAGCTGCCCGCCGGCTCCCCCCCCACCCCATCGGCAACTCGTGACGGATCCTCGGACACCTTCTCTAGAAACACGGGGCAAAAAGCTTGTCTAGATGGCGACGCCGCGGTCTTTAAAACTACTCAGACTACACTCGCCATTGTATAAGTGTGTCCCGACACTGCTGGTCCCGCGAAGGTAAATTCAGGTGGCACTGGGCTTTCCTTAGTATGATAAGCGCGTTATATTTATTCTAGGCTACTCATAATGTCTTGGCGCCGCATACTTTTAAGCTCCCGTTTGGTGGAGTGTCTCTTAATTAGCCTATAGTACGCCTTATGGTAACATCTTGCCTGGTGTTTACTGGAGATTTGTCATTTTTGGTGTTTGTTTGAAGATAGGCTACTACTTGACAATGCACATATTTATTTGCATGTGCATTAACAGATATTAAGATTTAAATAAGAAGCGTGTGATTGTCATCGGGCACTCGATCATTTGGCATGTTGATAAAATGGCCAGAAGGCAGTGACTATTGTGTATTTACGACTGACCTTTGCCCTGTGAAGGAAGCGTTCTCACATGATCACCGAAAAAGTGCAGTGTGTCAGAAGGAACGTAGGAGGGGATTATAGGCAAGGTGCTACAGAAATGCGGGACGTACTAATCTGACTTACATTAGATTCAAATTTGGAAGAGGTGTATTTAATTGTAAACTACAATACGTTTTTCACTGCCTATTACGAAGAATCACGAAAAACAATTTTATAAATATATAGAAAATACATAAACAACCACATATAAATGATTATATAAATGACGGATGTTTGTTGTTCTGCTGCCTTCTAGAGGTCTTGCAGATAAAAACGAAAAGGGCTGGTTCCGGTCATTGTTTGTTCACAAAGTGGACCCCAGGACAGATGCCCATTCGAACTTGCTATCAAAGAAGGAAACAAGCAATTTATATAAAATTCAGTGTAAGTATGAAAACTTTGATTTCCTGACTGGCGTACAGGACTGTTACCCACGTCCGTCTCCTTAGTGTAGCCCAGTGGTTCTCAGGCTTATTTCTGCTATGCCCCTCCTTTCGGAAGCGGAATGACTGTGGAGGTGGTGAGAGGGGCACGCTGTTCCACAACCAGCCCGGATCATGGCTGCCCCCCCAACCACTGCCCTAACGCAACTCATGTACTGATATAAAGAATCTCAACAATGTTCTGTATTATGTTAACTTAGAAGATGATTTTATCCAAGCTACCGTTGTCATACTTAACCCCGTTATCCACCTGCACATTTGTACTGAATTCTATCTGATCATGTTAGCCTGCCCTTAACCAGTTTGCTAAATAGTCATAAAAGTGCATAATGTACCACAAGCTCTAGGTACATATGTGCATTAAAAAAAAAATAAATTCTTCTGAAAAACTGAAGAGGTCATCTATGTATATTACAAATTGCTTTTAAAAAATCAGACCTCACAATCCATAGTACCGAACCTTACACTGCAGTATTAGTGTTAAGTACCATGATTAATTACCTTTGTTAAAACATACTCCATACTTCCCTAGTTAAGATTTCTCTGTCTGTTGTTACAGAGGACGCCTGGAGTCCTGCTGATATTTAATAATAATGCATTGTTTATGTGGCCTGCTGTCAGAATCATTCACCTTATTTAACCAGCAGAATGAGCTGCTTCAGGCTGATGACAGTGGCTGTGTTTCTTAACTCCGACATACACAGACTCTGTCCTGCTCTCGTTCCTTTCAGTTCACAACGTGAAGCCGGAGTGCTTGGAGGCCTACAACAATCTGTCGTGAGTAAAGGCCTCCACTGTAAAAGCTATTATTTTGATGGTAATCAGTTACTATATGCTTTGTTCATAGCATGGGGTTTGTTTGTGGGGCTTAAGCACCAGTTGATTTTAGGGAAGGCCCAGCCCATTTTTACGGTCACCATAACCATGTTATGGTGTACGCCAGGGACGGTTCTAGGCCTGTTTACCCCCCCATTATGGGCAATTTTTTTTTATCAGACCCCCCAGTACAGGCTTAACCCCCCTTATCATAAATCTCTAGAGACACTCTCAATGCTAGGTTGAAAGGCCGCATATCCTCCTGACCCTAAAACTGCCCGTGACTCCTAATCTTACTGGGGGGGGGGAGATGTACCTGAGGTCTGGGTTTTATTACCCCTCTCATCCCACGCAGGGCTGAGGTTCAGGGGCACCTCCACCATGACAAGGACTACCCATGTGAGGTCATTGGGAGCTGGAACACTTGGTATGGAGAGCAGGACCAGGCAGGTATGGTTAAAAAGCACTTCACTGCCTGTTGTATCTTTAGAAATAGAAAAGTATAATGAACTTAGTAATAAAAACGATGCTTTTGTAGATAAAAGTTTCGTGGATTTATTTCTCAGGCCACTCTGACTGTAAGTTGCAGTTAACAAATAATTCAACAGTGACACCCTGTGGTATTTTCTGGTAGTTCACCTGTGGCGGTACACCGGTGGTTATCCGGCGTTGACCGAGTGTTTGAATAAGCTGAAGCAGAATAAGGTACGACCTGAGACGGAATCTCTGTGCATATAACGACATCACCAGGAACGCTTTTGTTTTTAGATCTCTAGAGTAAACGAGTGGTGTGATCTAATTTAAACATTGCATTTGTCAAATGCCGCCATCTGAACAATGAAAGCATGTTTGTGTATTAGCACCTCTCACACCAGAGGCAACCCAAAGCGCTTTACATAAATTTAAATATAATAAAGTGATTCGCATAAAAAAATAATAAGATGAAATCCAAAAGAACAAATAGAACAAAGTAAAATACAAATAAAAAAATATATAAAATGCAAAAGTTATATACTTCAGATTTTATCATGTATGTGTTTTTGTTAAAGTTAGTGGATTTTTTCTAGAATTTTCTACATGCACTTTTTAATGTCATAAAACAGGCCCAGCCTGCCCTGTAGGCGAGATAGGCGACCACCTTTAAGGTTGGCTCCAGTTCATTTGGATGGAATACCTCTGGTTGCATTCCGTGACAATAGTTATTTACACTAGTTTTAATATCTCACTATTTTTCTTGCCAAACAGATGTGAGGTAGCTAGTTAGCAGCCAGATTCCCTAGGCTGCTGAAGTGCTTTCTGATGCACGTACAGGGCTGCCCCCTGTCGCTGCCCCTGTCGCTGCCCCCTGTCGCTGCCCCCTGTTGCTGGCCCCTTTCGCTGGCCCCTGTCGCTAGCCCCTGTCATAATGTGAGTTGTCGTCCCTTGTCTGCACAGGCGTATCTGGAGTTCCGCAAGCAGAGGAGCACGATGCTGATTTCCCGACGGAACCAGCTCCTCTTGGAGTTCAGTTTCTGGAATGACCCGCTACCAAGAGCCGGATCCAATATATATGAGCTGCGGTCCTACAGACTTAAAGTAAACCCAGACTTCAGGGGGGTGGGGGTGGGGGGGGGGGGGTGTGGACATGAGGAATGAGTATCATGCTAATGGTACAGAAAGTTTTGATTGGGGTGGCCAGGTGTATTTATGCGGATGGCTGCCCCACACTCAGGGTCCTCTTCAGTTCCACTTATAAAATAATACATATTTCATTTTTATTAATTTGATGTGGGGTGGCTACATATTCACTAGGGGCTGCCCCTGTCCAGCCTTTCATCCGCCCCAGACTGATCCATCAGGAGCCCCTTTTGGCAAACTGGACATTAAATGACAGTGATCCTGGGCCACTCTATCTGCTTTGTCAGTTAGAATGCTGTTTCACCTAAATGATTCACAAAGTGTTTGCGTTGAATGAATGCCCGAGAGACTGGTGCAAGGAGGGCTAATTGTATTTTTTTTTTAATTAATTAATCTGGTTCCAGAAACTGAAGCTTGTAGCTCATATCACAGAGGGTGTTGGCACTCTAACATGAAACAGCAGAACCACTGCTAAAGTGATTTGTTTATGCCTGGTTTGTTTATGCCAAAATCTGTTCATGTATGTAATTGTGTGGCCTGGACTGTACTATCTGTGTAATTGGGGCATAATGACTTTTTTTAAAGCTGGAGTTTTCAACTTTTTTATAGCAGGGACCCCCAAATTAAAATAGACTATAGCTAGCGTTTCCCTACCACTAATGAGTGATCATATACTGTAAGTACCTAGGAAGTAAGGATCTGAAGGCCTGCGTTAAGGTCACATTGTTCCTCAAATTTTTTAAAGATTTTTGGCTAATTTAGTTGAGTTTCCTGAAGATCCACCCATCCATTTTCCAACCCGCTTGTCCTACTGGGTCGTGGGGGGTCCGGAACCTATCCCGGAAGCAATGGGCATGAGGCAGGGAACAACCCTGGACGGGGGGCCAGCCCATCGCAGGGCACACTCACACACCATTCACTCACACATGCACACCTATGGGCAATTTAGCAACTCCAATCAGCCTCGGCATGTCTTTGGACTGTGGGGGGAAACCGGAGCACCCCGAGGAAACCCCACGACGACATGGGGAGAACATGCAAACTCCACACGTAACCCAGGAGGAGACTTGAACCCAGGTCCCAGAGGTGTGAGGCAACAGGGCTAACCACTGCTGATACCAGCATTTCATCAATTTACAAACCATTTCCGTAAACCCCCCTGTGGACCCCAGGTTGAAAACCTCTGTTTTAAAGAACCATTTTCATTTATACATTCATTTATATAAATGAAGTGTTGCACTTGTGTTTCTGTGTATACTGTATTATATTCTGTTTTCATTATGTCACTGAGAACTGTTTACAGTCACGCGCCTTATAACGACGTTTCGATCAGTGACGGACTGCACATACGACGGCGGTCCCATAAGATTGCACTACACCTAGTGACGTAGCCATCGTAATGTCATAGTACAAGGCATTACTCACTTGTTTGTGGCGATGCTAGCGTAAGCAAACTTTTTATCGTTTTTATCGCTTTTTATCGTTATTCAGAGTGTGCCCTTTCTACTTATGCTGAAATGTTGACTGTAGCCTCTGTGTGTAGCAGGCTATGCCATGTGGGTTTGTGTAAGTACACTATGATGTTCGCACAACGCTGAATTTGCCTAATGATGCATTTCTTAGAATGTATCCCTGACTTTCAGTTCAACTTATTTTTATATAGCGCCTTTCACAACAGTCTTTACACGGATGTGTTGTGATACATTACAACGTCATTAAGAGAGAGTAATAGAAGTTAAGTAGCGTGTGACTGTATTCGGAAGTTTTTATTAATATATATATTTATAATATTTTATTAGTATATAGTGCTTTTTGCAGAGACCCATAGCTCAGTCACAAATTGTCAGCAGAAATGTACCATAAATTGAAGAATCCAGGCTTACTACCCAATTTATGCTACGCCATAAACACGGGAATCCCAGTTAAACGTGTTAAAATGCGTTGAAATGACATTATTTTCCTTTTCGCCACCAGGGGGCAGTTTATTCACCCTTCGACTTTTTTTTTCTGGTCTGCTAAACTTGCTCTGCTTTTTTTCAGCCAGGCACGATGATTGAATGGGGAAATCACTGGTAAGTCATTTAAAAGTGTTTGGGGTTTGGATCAAATGTATAGCGTATCAGTCATCCCATTTAACCATATCAAATCTGGCAGGGCTCGTGGTATTAGGTACCGGCAAGAGAACCAGGAAGCAGTAGGAGGTTTCTTCACACAGATTGGAGACCTGTACATCGTCCACCACTTGTGGGGTGAGTTTGGACAAAGCCAGTGTGTCCCTTCCTAAATTGTTTCATCAAATTGGTCATTGTTCAATTCGTGTTTCAATTTGAGTCTTGACTGATACGTTGCACCTTCCTTTCATTGGTCTGCAGCTTACAAAGATCTGCAGTCCAGAGATGAAACAAGAAATTCTGCCTGGCAGAAGCCAGGCTGGGACTCGACTGTATATTATACAGGTAGGACAGATCCAAGGTATATGAAACAGAATCAGTTCTAAGGGCACCTCCCAGCTGATTACCTCATAGTAGTTCATGTGTAATGCTAAAGGCGCATGATTCACAGAGCCATGCACGCATGTTGAAAACTGCAGTTCCATTTTAAATGTGAAAGGTAGGAGGAGGAGTTTGGACAGACCTTAAAACATGTCTCTCTGCCTCTGCTTTCCTCTCCAGTGCCGTTGATCCGAAGCATGGAATCCAGAATCATGATCCCTACTAAGAACTCGCCTCTCCAGTAATAACTCCAAGCTGGCCAAGACGGCATGGGAGCGTTGCTTAGTGGGGGGAGAGTGCCAAAACTTTGGCGTCAAACGTTGGCTGCCCCCCCCCCCCAACACAGGCTCTGAATTTGTCTGAAAGCTTACGTCATTCATTACCGCTGTTCACAGATAGTGACTTAAATGAGACCTCAGAGGGACTTAAGGTGTCTCTCTGCTTCTTGACCTTATTGGTTTATTACAAGTTGACCTACTTAGATTGTCTAGCCTCTGTAATTTCTGTAATTACACTTTTTTGTTAAGTTGAGAAGCATTTTCACGTCATATCACATTTGCTGTAAATCCCCACTTGACCTGCTTGGTGAGAAATTTGATTATTAATTGATTGGCCTGATGAAAAAAGTAGTATGGTATATTAGTGGGTGATAAGAGCAGATGTATGGAATGACCAGGGTTTGCTTTGCTGAAGTATGTCGACCTGTGCTCTATGTTAGTCATGGCATAAAACTTTCCATTTTCTGAACTGCCTACTGTAAAGGTTGTCGATGAACAGTTCCTGCCCTAGTTGCCAGGAATTGTCATGATATCTCATTTGAGTGAGCACTCAGTTTACACATGCGGTTGTAATGCCTACAGCAATCATAAAATTAAATTGCACAATGATGCCCAAACCACAATTGAAATATATGATCACTGCTGGTACATATTCTTGGAAGGTTTAGTCACATTTTTATTTGTTCTTTGCCAAATTGTAAAGGAAATTGAATCAGTGAAGAACTCTCAAATTGTTTGAGATTTGCATAATTTTTTTCCTCACAGTAGGATAATATAGAAGAAGCATTTCTTCCTCCAGAAAGTTAGGATAAGGATGTTTCATGTAATCACATGTTGTATGTGTGCGTGTGTGTGTGTATGTGTGAGCTGTGCTGCTTAATAAGTCTAATAAATTATTGTAGTAGTCTTGCAAATGGGAGAAATAAATCGGTTCGTTGTTATCGTATGGCTTCTTGTCTGTTGATAATATTTTGTATGGCGGGAGGCGGGAATTACTAGATTGAGTAACAAACAGTTACAACCCAAACAGCATACCTGCATATAGGCAAGATCCATCGGCAAAGCATCTCTATGACGTTGTTTGCTCACTAGTACGACGTCGCTACTCAGTTTTGATCCGACGTTCACCCGATGTCTGCCTGGTGTATTTCACCAGCACTACGATGTTAATGAGATCACTATGCGACGGTCAGCCTACTGTTGTATATCCTGGTTAGGCTATATGACCCACAATTGGGTTATACGGTAACACTTTACTTTATCGGGTCTCAAACAATATAGTATTATGCTATTACTTATGTATTAATTAACCACAAACTAAGTCTTATTTACATACTGATCTCATGTTAATTTGTCATTAATGAATCGTGACGCATCCTTTATCTGAAGCAGTTACTATATTTGTTACTTTATTAATTCTGTAAACCTTTGTGAACTACCAAGGAACTACTGAGGAGTTTCTAAAGGAACAAGTAATGAATAACACAATTGAAATACTGATCATTTTTGCTTGAGTCGTGACATCTTTTATCTTAAGTAGCAACTGCATTTGTTCACTATATTTGTACTTCAGTAGTAACTGAGTTAACACAAAGTATTTGTGCCCCATCAAGTGTTACCGGTTATACTATATATATTTACAGTATATACTGTAGGATATATTTGTTCTTTTACCCCCATGTAGGCATAGTGTTTAAAACCATGCATATACCACACAATTTAACTGAATAAAAGTTATCGTTTTATTAATTTAAATATTGACGACACAAGAAAGTTACAATACACCTAACAGTTACGCTGAACTGATTAAAACAAAATTATTGAAAAAATTTCAATACAAACACTATACCATCTGTAATAATTGAAATATTGCTAATAAATGGAATGTGGTCATTTAACGATATTCCACTCTTAAACTGACGTATATGTGCTGTCTGGGAAACATTTTACATGAGAGGGTGCAAGAAATATTTAATGTGCATTCTTATTTTGCTTACAAGACATATTTTTCTTCTAAAAACAAACACTTGGAATGGGGGTGGGATAATATCTAATTCCCATTTTCTATTTAAAAAACATTTAACAACCCACCTAAACCACACATGGAATACACAAGATTAGCTGTGCTTTGCAAATTAACATCCCCTGGCTAAAGTTTAATGTTCCCGTTGAGGTCAGACCATTCCATCATTACATTTCAAGGATGCGATTAATCTTTGGAATATAAATCGATTAACCAACTAAATGTATGCTTTAGTGTTAACGCCTGCTTATAACGACCCGAACGTAATGTCTGAGATGGCTTGCATCATTTTTTTTTAGTTGCACAGGCAATATATACAATTAAAAACTGGCACATTAGGCGCAAACGACGTCCAGCGTTGGATTCAGGTGAAATCGGCGTGGCCCTTTAAAGCCGAGGGGGCGTGGTTCTGTGCGGGCCGCCTCTCTGATGGCTCCGACGCCTTTTTCTCCTTATCCCCTCCAGATCCCACCGTGTCGGTTGTAAACACCGGGGCATGCGAATTAACGCGTGTCCCCCACAGCAGGCGCTACCGATCCGGGCGGGGGGGCTTGCAGCGGTGCATATATCGCGGAGAATCGAACACGTTCGGCCTTGAGGACGAGGTGCTGGGTGCTGCAGCGGAGAAATGGACCTGCACATCCTCGATCACAGGCTTAAAGTGACCAGTATCTGCAAGGACGGCTTGGTGGTCTTCACACACCCGCTTATCAAACTCATATTCCTGCGGAACAGAACCAGGTAAAGCCGCTCTTTCTAACGCTGGTGTTATTGTGATTATTATTAATAATAATATTAAACTTAAGGTACGCAATAATAATTATAACTTGATGTCCTCCTTTCCAAAAGCACGGACGCAGGACCCAACAAAGCGCGAGAAAATTGAAGCAAAAACCACGAGGAGAGTCGTTTAATATGGTGATATCTAGCACACGAACAGCTAACTTGATTCACTTCATCCGTAGATAGTTTATCCTGCACTGACCGAGGCCCGATAGTGCAATTTGCTAAACAGATAAAGATGGCCCTTTGGCATAGTGTGTTGTATTAGGTGTTTAAACTGCTTTTAAAACGAACCAGATGGTTTTGCACCTAAAAATGCTGATTAACACGTGCAGCAATTGCAGCGTCCTTTATTTTATTAAGCGGAGTAAAACAAAAGTTTGCCTGCCTGTTTGAGATCCGAGGCCGAAACGTGGGCTTCATGCTGAGTGTCGTCACGTTTGTTGCGCTGGCATTTTTACAGATTACCTTATATAGCCTCCGAAATGTTTATAAGTAACTGAAAGCAACATGTGCCATTTAGGCAGTCGTGTAAATGCGAAGGCATGGCGCTCAGCTCCTCTTCATGTCCAGGGCCCTCATGATTATTTAAGTTTTGGACGATTTTAATAGCCTCTCACCCGTGAATCCCCAGCCTGCTGTACAGGTCTGCCTCTTATACTACCCCCATAATATCTCATTTTTCTAATTCAGATCTACAGAGCCTGGCTTTATGTAACTGTGTCCCTGTCTTCCCTGCTCTAAGCCAGCTGTGTAACCCTGGCCTTGGGGAGCCCTACAGAAATCCACATCACTCTCCCCTGGCCTCCTGTCTTTGTTGTGCTTTCACATTCAGTTGTATTTTTGGTCTGTAAATCTGCGTCAGCAACTCTCAAGGTGAGGCCTCTATTGGCATGGATGTGTGATAATCGCAGGGAACTGTTAGGTCCGGGTCTACAAAATTATTTTCCTGCTTTGTTTGAGGTGTGTACCTTAATCATTGTACGTCATTTATGTAACTTTTTTTTTTTTTGTTCTTCCATAACCGGTTCTTTTTTTTTCTTTTCTTTTAAATTCCTCCACTTTTCTGGGTGTGGGCTGAGGTTTATTCCCTGTCAGGCCCTTCGCCTACATGGTGGATGCATGTATGTCCAGCCATTCTTTTATTTTGTCCGTTGTGTCACATAGTTTGTAGACCGACGTCCCGGGAGAGCGCTGCTGCTTGTTAGCTACAGTATAAGTGTTACCTGCTGCTTGGGTGGAGACTTGCTGCTCTTTGCGGTCACTCGTGCTTGTTTGCTTTCATCTCAAGCCAGAATTTGCTAGAAGCCTCTCACCGTGGGCCCTCGGATATTTGCCCCATGTATTGCTAACCCCACTCGCCCCCCGCCCGACATTGCTGCGCTGGGCTTGGCGAAGACGAGGCACTGTTGTTCACAGGACTCTGCAGGTCATTCTGAACTGCTGAGTAGATATATAACAGGGATGTTTGGGGGAGAAAAAAAGATGACAAAGTTCACTCCCCCAGGCCTGTCTGAAAGGCTGAATAAACACTATAAAATGTTAGTGCTTTTTATGATGGATGATACTTAAAAATTATTCATGCATGACAATATGCAAATTGTTATGATGGATTTTTTTTTTTGGGGGGGGGGGGTGTAACCTGATATGTAGTAGTAAGAAATGGAGATTCTTGGATAGTCTTTTCCTCCTCACCTTAATGAATTTTTAAAGTGAATCAGGATGGTTCTGATGGACCTCAGGCGAAATGTACGTCCGGTATGCAGAATGCCCCCCACCCTCCCTCTGTCGGAAGATGAAGCAGCCCTTACTGAAATATGCGTAAGTTTGCTTATCGCCGGCCGGCTGCCTGCCCGCCCGCCATGGCACGTATCCGAGTAGGCAGCGGGGGGGTTAACGGTGCCAGTTTGTGGCGCTCGGCAGCTGAAACGATAATGACAAACATGATGTGGCGGTGCCCCCCCTTTTCTCACCAGCCTTTGTCTACAGACAAAAGTTAGTGGACATTCTGGGTGCTCCAAACTTTCCCACAGCCCTCTTGGCCTGCAGAATGGCGTTGTGCCCAAGCCCACCATGAGCAGACCAGGCCCACCATGAGCAGACCAGGCCCACCATGAGCAGACCAGGCCCACCATGAGCAGACCAGGCTCACCCTTAGCTATCCCATTGGCAAGATGGTAGGAAGACCTTCACATCTTCAGAGAGAGAACACAATAGTCCATATAGTGATTTATAGACACTCATGTCTGTATTTAACCAAAATAATTTGGTTTGAAGCAGCTCATGCGCCAAGTGTGTGCCGCCCCAGCCAAACCATTAAGCTGTTAACAACTGAACGTTAAAAGTAATTAACATAAATTCAGAACTGTATTGCACTGAATGCATTTGGATCAACCAGTTAAAGGCCAAAGTGTTTAAAGATCGACTGTCATCTGAATGCTTATCGCTTAATATCGTTTGTCGAATTTATGCCATGGTGGTTCTCCATCACAGCGAGAAGGTTGTGCAGGTGTTGCTGAAGCCTCCTCTGATGTGTGCCGAGCCTGTACAGGGTGGTGTTTGAACTGCAAATAAACAGGAAGTGACCCCAGCACGGCTCAATCTGCCAGGAAGTGTTCGCACACTTGCAGGAAGTAAAGACCTGGGGGGGGGGGGTGAGAGGTTAACAGGAAGTTTGAAGGCAGTGCAGTACAATGGACTCCTGCATTTACCCATCTGGTGCTGCTTGATTAACCTGCTATGTTTTTGATGAAATTCCCTTGATACTCCAGTGAATGATTACATGGAGCTTAACCTGGGAGTCTTTCCCCGGTAACACAGCTGGCAGATGCATGGGACGGACAGGACCATTGACCCAAGCTTGTTTTTCCCCTAGTTTTTCTGGTACAAATCCAGCATTTTGACTTGAGGCGAGTTTCTTTACCCATGAACTTTTGGGTGTGCCTAGACGACCCTCCAGAGACCACGGAGAAGGGCAGCCTTCCAGTAATCCCCTCTCTGTGAGGGGTCTGGCGTGTCTCTTCACAATATATCGCCACTGTGCTTATTGGAGCGGGTAATTGTGGATGGGTGAGCGGGTTCTTGGCTGGTGACGGTGCGCTTTCCAGAAAATCCTCCCATTCATACATGTCCCACAAGAGCGGCCCCATTAGCCGCACTCTGGCCCTCACCCTTTCCTGCTTCTCTCGCCCCCTCCGCAGGTGCAAGTTCTTCAGCCTGACAGAGACCCCTGAGAACTACACAGTGGTTCTGGATGAGGAAGGTTTCAAAGGTAGCACCAACGCTTGGGTTATGGGATAACCAGTGGGTTCCCACACATGTGCCGAAACCACCCACCGCAGGTTTCAATGGAGGGGGAGAACATTCACGTTTGGGCGCATCAAATGAATGGGCGGGTACATGGATAGTCTGTGGAACGTGATTGGTCCTTCCTGTGGTGCAGTTTATACTCTCAGGCAGGACCTATAACAGAGCCCCCTCCGCTGCTGTTTCTGATCTGCTACAATGGACCCCCACCTCAGGAAACTCACTAGGGTTTACTCCATTGTCAGGTTATGAGAAAGACACCATTGTCCCAGAATCTGCACAGTTGTATGTTGCTGTAAACGCAGATTAAAAAAGCCTTTTCATGTCCACCGTAGCTAGAGCATTAAGGCTTATCTTTGCTCCCGTCTGACTACCTTGTGAAGTCTCCCGGCTCCCAGTTCCTGAGGCCTCGCACCCGTTTCCCTCTCCGGCACCGGGGGGCAGGCCAGGGTGGTCCAGCATTATTTTATCATTGCTTTTTGGCTCGGCTCGTTCCCCCGACCTTTGGCGCGTGTGAGGCCTTGCTGAGCCACTGAGGCGTTTTTCCTGCTTTGTGCAACAACGGGTCGTAAATTCTGTAAACATGCTGATTATATGTCTGCAAGCTGCTTTTCTGGCTAAGGATGTGTCATGGTGGTATTGGCCTTTTTTTGGTGAGTCCCGGAAGGAGGCATTTTTGTGCTTTATGGTCTCCTTATGAGGCCCTAGTTTGTGGATGTTTGAGTTCCCAAGTGATGTGGCTGACTTTGGTCGGGCCCTGGGTGGGGTGAGGGGGAAGCAGCACCACTGTGGGCAGTAGTGCCTTAATGGTTAGGGAAGCACACTTGAAATTGTAATTGGAGGATTGCTGGTTGGAATCTACAACCAGTAAGGCACCACTGAGGTACCCTGAGCAAGGTTCTGCTCCCCAGGTGCTGAATTAGCTGCCCCCTGCTATGTCACAATGTCACACATGGGTTAGATGCAGTGGACACGTTTCGTCGTCGTGCGCCGTGGTGTGTTCAACAATGACCTCTAAATTCTAAGCGTTTCTGCTTCAGCTCAGCCAGATGATGATGTGATGTTTTTGATTCCCCCCCACCCCCACCCTGAAGAGCTCCCGCCCTCGGAACACCTGCTGGTGGAAGACTCCACCTGGCTGCCCCTCAACGTGGTCTCCAATGGACACGCCTCCAGCAGCTCCCAGGCCGTGGGCGTCACCAAGATCGCCAAGTCTGTCATCGCACCCCTGGCCGAGCAGCACGTCTCCGTCTTCATGCTCTCCACCTACCAGACGGACTTCATCCTGGTGAGGTGCCGGCTTGCCCTCTGATTGGTCAGTTGGTGTCTGTACTGCCTGTAGTGTGTTTATGTGTCTGTGTCCCCTGTGATGCACTGACCCCTCCAGAGTCTCCCCTGCCTTGTTCCTCACCTGGTATCCTGTGCTGTTTTGGGTTAGGCTTTAGGCCTTCCCTACCCATGTGCCCTGAACTGGATGGATGGATGGAGTACTGTTATCAGTAGTATCATAGTCAGGGATGCACATAAGAGGTACACATTCTCCGTATAAAGCCCAACTCCAGTCCTGGGGGGCCACATTTTTGGGTTTCCCCTCATTTAACACACCTGATTCAACTCCTTGTGTTAATTACCACACAGCTCTTGAGCTGAATCATTTATGGTGGAACAGGGAAAGAACTAAGCTACACAGGGCTCTGCCCCCCCCAGGACTGCAGTTTGACACCCCTGGTATAAAGTGATACGTATGACAGTTTCCTGCTGCAGCATTTGTGCTGTTATAACAAGAAATTACCATGCATTTTTACCTTTATACCATGAAAGAAGTACAAATTAGCTACGTAAAGGTTAAAATGCACAGTAAATTCTTGTCATTACAGTGCAAATGTACCTAAAATAATCATGCATTTGCGCTGCTACAACAGGAAATTGCCGCCCGTATCGCTTTATACAGCGATTTGTCCCAGTCATGTGCCTCCCTGATCGTAGTTCTCATGGCTCATGATTTTGAAGATATGTATTTCTCAGTAATTAAGTGGAAAACAAAGCCAAAGGCTGAGGTCAGAGGTGAATGGTGACCAGAATTTGCAAATCAGCATTTGCCCCAAGCAGAGCAGGGGCATGGTCTGCAGGAAGACCTCTCACACGTCCATCACCGGCTCGTAGTTAATGACTTGCTGAGTGACTGCACTAAATAAGGGCTTAAACAAGTTTAATGTTTAACACCATAAATTTGATTTTGCTTTTGCCTGGACTTTGCTCAGACGTCTTTTGTTTGGCTTGGGTTATTTTAATATTTGAGTTCTTTGTTTTATATAGATATTCAGAGAGATACCTTTGTCCTTGGTGTGTTTGTCCTTTAAAGAGGAATCACTATGCATTGTGCCATTCCACCAGCTTTTACATTGGCTTCACTTTGAATCAGCTCAAACTTTGTTTCATGCGTTTGTTTAAAACATCTAAAGCTCGAGCTGAGCCTCAGGTAATAAGTCTTTGTTGTGAAAAGAGTGAAATAGCAGGAAAAAAAAACTGTTAATCATGTGTTTAATGTAAAACTGACTGAGAGACACTGGCCAGGTAGAGTGAGGCTGCGACAGTGGAGGGATCTGTTCCATCTGAGCTTGTGATCAGCCTTGAGATGTTTGGAGGTGGATGTGCTGCAGAGGTGATGGTCTGCTCTGTGGTCGGCAGGTGAGGGAGAAGGACCTGTCGGTGGTCATCCGCACCTTGGAGGAGGAGTTCAACATCTACAGGGAGGTGGGGGGGGAGTGCGTCCCGTTCCGCAGCCAGGACATCCGCAATGGGTTCCAGAAGAATGGCAAAGAGGGTAAGAGGGGGAGGGGAAGGAGTCCTGTTTCTAGAGGAATGGTGATAAATCCATTAGAATGTATAGTGAAAATTCGAGGTACACCAATCTGATATTCAGATTGGTATCGGCACCGATCCAGACCTGTTCGACAGATCGGGTATCGGCCAAATGTGACCGATCCACACCCAATATACCACAGGCTATAAAAAGATAGCTATATTTTTTGTTAAACTGATTTGTACAAAATCAATCACACAATAGATCTTTCCCATTTTAGATGTGTTTTTGGAGGCATTCAAGTTCAACTCTAACTCTGCTAGTCAGCATTTAGTGGAAAATCACACCAAACAAAGCACAAGGAATTGTGCGAGACAGCACAAGTAATATGAGAAAAGCAGTGCATGATTTGGGATTGGCTAGCTTGAGCTGTTTTGCACACTCACTGCAGCTTGTGATACACGAGGGGCTGCTGTAGCAATGAAGTGTGAGTGACGCTGTTGCCAGTGGGGGGAAAATTGTGGGGCTTTTGAAGCATTCGCTGCTTGTGTATCCTCACTGGGAAGATATTCAGATTAAACCGCAACTGCCTCATAAACACTTAAAACAAGACAAACGAGGTGGATCAGTATGTTATGTATGCTTCTAGTATCCTAATTTAAAAAAAATTTTGGGATCCATTTGTATTTCCTAGTTTTAAAAAGGATTAATAAGTTCAGACGCTGCACTACTTACAAACTTTCAACTTATGAACTTTCAGACATACGAACGTAGAGGACTGCAAGTCCAAATTGTGTTCATTGGGCTCCTGTTTCCTGTCCGCTACATCAAGTTTTTTTTCTGCGCGACGGATCCGCCTAGTACATCTTCTGGCCGCTACTCCCGCCACGCAGCAGTGTAGCGTGCGTACTCCCAGCATCCTAGTTCTTTGTACTTGCGTATACCTTTATAATGATGTTGAATAACAACTTACGAACATTTCAAGTTACGGACGGCCGTTCGGAACACGTCTCGTTCGCAAGTAGAGGAGCGTCTGTATAAATATATATTCATTTATTATATAAAAATACTGGAGTAAAAAGAGCTCTTGCATCGGAATCTATCCGTATCGGTGTATCGGTGTATCGGAATCAGAACCAAAATATGGACTTGCCCCTCCCTAGTAAAAATAAGGTGGTGGTCTCTTGAAATATTTAGCTTCAATGTAAGAGTGCCAGCATATGAAGTATGAGCCTGTTCTAATGATCCTTCACTGCAAAGGCTCATGGGTAATTCCGACACGCGTACATTTAGCCTGGGTTGGGTTGGGCTCCCAGTTGGCCTTGGGGCCCCCAGAGGTTTCCTTCCCTCCTCCAGGACCTGCACAGATCTTGTTTAGTCTGCGGTGTTGTCTGGCTTTGTTCCACTCAGCCCTTTAATGCTGTAACTCTAACTGCTATTAAGGCCGTCTGATGTGGTCAGACTCATTGCTGAAGGCCCCGTACTCTGGACTCATTGAGGTTGACCTCTGTCACAGTGCTCTGCAGACTGGGCTTCCCAAAAAGACAGACATCTGCTGCTCATTAAAAATCCCACTGTTTTAACGAACATCAAGAAAACGTGAGCACATAACTCATATTTTAAAGTGACCTCACTCTCAGAAGTGATTTTACAGTACTCAAATGTCTTGAACAGAAAATATCACTGATGGGTTTGAAACCTCGTGTGTCTCTTTGATCTTTGGGAATTGGTCAGCTTGTGGTGCCTATTGTTCATGTGTGACATAAAATATTCTTTGAATTGCTTTCTGTATGAAAATGTGTTCTGTAAATAAACTTGCCTTGATTTTTGTAGTGAATTTTGGCAGAGAGGGAGGGGGGAAAAAATGAATGAATCCATCCTGTGTTCTCAGCCAAGATCACGGTCCATCCGGTTTTGAGTCCACTGAACAAATTTTTGGTCATGAGCTTGGACCCAGACACTCTTCCAGCCATCGCCACCACGCTGATCGACGTGCTCTTCTACTCCAGCAGGTGGGAGCCCATCTGTCACTTTACTCTCTGGCGCCCCCCCCCCACTCCAGCTGAGTGGAGATGAAAATTTAACAGCTGTCTTCCTGTTATTTTTATAACCTCATTGACCCCTGATGTTTTTCTGGAAAAGCCTTTATCCCTTTCAGGATACGATCTGATAATTGCTAACCACTTACCAGTTAAGAATTCCTTTTTTAAATGGTTAAACAGCCCTCGAATTGCTGCTTTCAGAAGAACTGGGGTATTAATTGAAAGGAAGAAAATGATTCCTAGGAACTAGGGAGTTTGCACTGGTATGGCTTGCAGGAGTTCCATCCTGGGCAAGTTTTTGGTGAAATGTTGGAAACTGCCTTGTGAATATTATCGATGCCAATCTTTTTATGCAGGAAATTCAAAGGCAGTTTTGTATTAACAGTTCTTTACTATAATTCTTTGTTTACAACAGGGCTCCCCTGTTCCGGTCCTGGAGGGTCAGTCTGCAACACAGTTCGTAGATTTTCCTGCTCATCTTATTTAGCTCACCAGCTAATTACCAGGTGTAGCAGGTGTGTTTGAGCAGAGAAATTTGCATACTGTGTTGCAGACTGACCCTCCATAACCGGAATTTGGGAACCCGGGTTTGGAGTCACGTTGTTTTAAGGATGAAATTAAAATGACCAAAAATCTCACTCATGCATTTCTTTAACCAGGACTGGACTGGCCATCTGGCATAACAGGCAGGGCATTTAGCTAGTGGGCCGATGGCTATGTTGGCTGGCCCCTCCCCCCACCAGTAAAATTTACTGTGGGGCCATAAAGAACCCCAAAGTCCAGGAAGGGCTGTCTTTCTTTTTAAATCATCCCTGACCTTAACACTTTCTTACATTTGTTTCTCAGCCAGAAAGATGGATCCCATTCCAACCAGGACCTGGACTGCATCAAATTTTTCTCGTTTTCTCTTATTGATGGATACATCTCCATAGTCATGGACACCGAAGCCCAGAGACAGTAAGTCGAGGCTCCCCGTCATCGGGGTCTCTTGAGGACGCCTCTCTTGGGTAAATCTGACCCTCCTATGCCTTCACTCTCTCTCTGTCTCTTTCAGGTTCCCAGCTAACCTTCTGTTCACCAGTTCTTCACAAGAGCTGTGGAGGATGGTCCGGATTGGCGGCCAGCCTCTGGGATTTGGTGTGTGCCCCCATTCAGGGAATATTTGCTGACCCCTGCTGGTCATACATTGTAACTGCGAGGCACAAGAGACTTACCAGTCTGTCCTTGAATGGTGTTTGTGTAAAGCAGGAATGAGGTACCTTGATGAAGTGTAATCCCTTAATTACCCCCCCCCCCCACAGATGAGTGCGGCATTGTGGCCCAGATCTCCCAACCCCTGGCTGACAGTGACATCTCTGCATATTACATCAGCACTTTCAGCTTTGACCACGCCCTGGTGAGCTTTTTATTGATCAGCTAACAGCGTAACAAACTAACAGCTGGATAAATATCTCCTTTAACGTGCATATAAAGCACTCGTTTGCGGATCCTCCTCCAAAGCGACGTTACTTCACACATGCTGCATGCTTTTCTGTTTATGAAACATTAGCTTCAGTGTGCACTTGTAAGTATCGCTGGGATCAGGATGGAGGGGGAGGAAAAGGACAGAGCCGAGTTAGCGGGCAAGAACACAAGGGGGCCATTTAAATAGTGGGGCAGAACCATGCAAAAAAAGTCAGTTTTGGGCAACAGACAGGCAACAAATACTGCTAGCAGGGTCTGAGCAGGTTTGCTGGGTGGAGACGGGCAACAAGGAGGGAGGTAAACAGTGACCCCCCACGGAAAAAAAAAGTTACAGTGCAGTCTAAGTATTTGGACAGTGACATTTTATTTTGGTTTTGTATACCATCACAATGGGTTTGAAGTGATGCACTCAAGTGCAGATTGTCAGCTTTCATCTAAGGCGATGGACAGCTATATTGTGTTGTTTTTATACGTTTTTACGGGTGGTATCCTGAGAATCATCCCTTTCATTTCTCTTTCCATTGCTCTTTTACAGGTGAATCTTTGTCATTTGTCCATAAAGGGTTATTCTAAAACTGCACGTTTTTTTTTACGTCTTAGTAAAGCTTTTCACTTCTGTTCTGGCTTACCAGTGGTTTGTATATCACCTAATATAACTATCTGTAACCTTAAGTTAAAGCTAACAGTCTGCACTTTAAAGTGAGAGTATTATTGAGTGTTTAATTTTAAAATGTTTTGTGATGGTGTACAGAGACAAAATAATTTAAAAAAATGTCACTCTTCAAATATTTATGGACTGCACTATATAATGAGGGATTTTTTTTGTGCTGAATGAGGCTGTTACCCACTATTTAGCTAATGCATATAATCACTTCTGTTATCAGATTGTACTCTTCTCCCTCTGGAGTAGTTTGTGAAACTGCACTTAACACGCATCTCTGTGATAAGCAGATTATCTTCATATCTAAATTCTGAGACTCTATCGGCTTCTTGTCTGTAAGGAAGTGACATTTTTTTTTTTAGCTGAATTGCTTAAATTTTAGCAAAATTTGTAAGCAAATGTTATTACTTCAGACACTTTGTGAAACACAGTATTGCTTCAGCATGGTCTTTTTCAATTTTACTGATGTTATTTGGATTTTTAAGATCATGTTCTTAAACCTTAATGTTTCAGGGACAGCCCAGCTAATTTTGAAGTTGTTTCACCACTGTATGCTTTATATACGTGTCAGAAAAGAGAGTAAGAATTTGTACCTTTGCTTGTCACTGGGGCTGTACCCTCAATGGTCTCTCAGTTGTACCCTAACTAGGGCTGCATGATTCTGGGGAAAAAAGTGAATCGCAATTCTTTTGCTTTGAATTGAGATCACGATTCTTTGACAATTTTTGTCCCTTAAATTTAAGCCTTTGTTGCATTCATAAAACTGCAAAAGGAAACACAACACAACACAACAAAACATGACTGTGCCAAAGGTATGGTTGATCCAGGACCAGCATAGCAACGTCTGACAACAGAAAGGAAACGCTCAATTGGCCATTCAGTTAGGGTAACCAAAACAGCTGTACCAGAAGTTCCAGTACCAAAAGGCCCAGTGGGGATCTTTTTTTGGTACTTCGGTACTTTGGGGTGGGACTCAAAGCACTTTCTTTGAACTGTTATGCAAATGGCCTGCCTCTGAAACGCAGTGCAGCTGCCGTATTAAACAGTTGTGAACTGAGAAAACGAGGTGGTATAATAATGATGATGATGATGATGATGATGATGATGATGATAAAATAATAATAATAATGCGTGTACAAATGAATTGACCCAAGCTAAAATATTGTTGAAAGAACCAGAGATCAGGATAGCATTAAAAGAAAGTATTTTATAATATACTATGACAGCATGGTATGGTATTGGAAATTTTTCAAATATTGCAATGTGATTTATAGGGGTTTTTATTAAACAAAAAAGACAAGTTTCTCAAACCCCTCTAGGAGTGATTTTAAATAGTAAGGATGAAAATGATTGACTCTCTAGGACAGGGATAGGCAATCTTATCCGCAAAGGGCCGGTGTGTGTGCTGGTTTTCGCTGCAACTCCCTAATTAGATTACTAATTAGAGGACTGATTGGCTGAAGAGTCCTCACACCTGGGTTTGATCAGCTGACCTACAGGTTATCCCAAAAACCTGCACACACACCGGCCCTTTGCGGATAACATTGGCCACCCCTGGTCTAGGAGAACCCATGCAGTGTTCATGCAAAAGCAGCGAAGGTGAACTTCAATCTGATTTTTAAATGTATACTAGATAACCTTGAAAACAATAATTAATAATTAAAATTGCAAAACTTTCACTTTTTTTCCCTTTGATGGCGTAAAACTGTTTTAGTGAAACTTAATCTCTCTGCGATATGATGTCTGTATAGAGAATTGAAAGTCAGAAAAACCCTGATCTTAATCTAGCTGACTGGCGAAGTAAGAATTGCACATGCAGAACATGCGATGCTGTATTAATATTGCACCTCAGCCTGCGCTATAATATACTACAGCCATTTTTTTAATTTAGTACAAAATACCCCACCTCTTGCTGTGGTTTCACTCCGTGCCAGTACTGGTTTTTACACTAGTGGAAAACCACCTTGAAATACCAGGAGCTTGTGCATCCTTTATTTTTTGAACGCAAAATTTTTTGAAAATGTTTAATTTGAAATTGCATAAATGCAATTCTTTGAAATTGCTGGCATCGTGATTAAGCAATACGGATTTTTAACATTTCTTTGCACGGCCTTGTTTGCCTGTTTTTACCACTAGAGGGCAGTGGAGAACAGTTTTTCTGAGGCGTTCTAAGATCTTCCCCAGACCTACTACATACTGTATACAAGCTATATAATACTCATAATGAGTCTAGGATAGGATGTTTAATGCATAGTTACTGATGCCTACAATATCTGTAAGTCTAAACCATAACTCGTTAGTCTTAGGTTCAGAAATTTCTTTTTATACTTCCATTCATTTATAACTTCTTTCATTGTGTTAAAGCTACAGAAAGAACTGCTCTAGTTTATTTCTTCAGAAATCTTTTGAAGTGCAAAACCAATCCAATTGTCTTTGTTTCTGCATGATAACTGCAGTTCAGTTTATTGAATGATACAATTCCCCCCCCCCCCCCACTCCCTTCTTGGTGACATGGACATGGATCTATAAATCAGTAACATTATTCAAATGCACTGTTGTTGATTTGTATGCTGTTGATTTGTATCCAGTGCTGCTTTGGACTGTCGGAACAGCACAGATGTTAATGTACTTTCATTTACCTCAAGGCTGGATACACTCCACAGCTTCCTCAGTTGACTTGCTGTCATCTCGGATGTCTTGCATTTCCGAAGCATTGCCGTGTTGTTGATATCCGTCTCATTTAGCTACGCTGTGCGTGTCAGTTAGCCCAAAACTCAGTGTCTGTTCATCTGCAGTACTGCCATATTGCTCAATGAGGTTGTCTAATTTTGTCTTGCGCAGTTGACTACGAAGTCTGGCGATAAGCTGGCATGCAGGTGGTGTCAGATTGAAAATGCTCTTTACTGACAGGAAGGGCACTAAGCCATGCGCCCGTAATATCAAAACTAAAGGCAATGCAGACCACGCTAAGGCAGTCTGGTGATCGGCAGGCTTGGCGTGATCTCTGCATGCGCATAACCAGGACCTGACCACATCTTTCTGTTCTAAGAATGGGGAACTACTGTCACTCTACTTGCAGCATGGTGGACCCCCTTCCTATTGGCTACTTGTAAGCTGCTTTTTGGAAATGTATTACCAAACAACCACTCTGCGTGTTCCACGGGGCGGCTGGGGTTGAGTAATCGGACTGCACCCCCACATATACCGTCCAGTCCTGAGAATGTATGCTTTTTTTCCCCTGGTCTTTTCAGGTTCCAGAGGAGGACATTGACAGTGTGATCAGCCTACTTCAGCAGCAGAGGCATGACCCATCGCAGGTGTGATGACACAAGTGTCCCAAGGCTCAGGGAGAGCCCTTCAGACCTCACCCTTGTGCCTAGTCTGCCACAGACTCCACCCCATCCAGCACTTACTACACAGTATTAGCTGTGGCTGATGCCATGACAACCAGCTGTTCACTGCTGGCTGAGTGTTGGGCCCTGGTCTTATGTGGTGGGCATAGCTGCTGGTTTAGAACCACTTCCTGTCTGTGTCTCCATCCTGAATCTCCTGACACTACTTTCTGCGCCTCCGTCTTCTAGAATGAAATCCTGAGGTGCTGGAGCTAATATTTTGTATAAACATTTTTTTATGCCCCCCCCCCCCCCCCCCATGTATCTGGGAAAAACAATTTTTGTATAACTTTTACAAACCCACCTACAACAAAGGTGGCAGTATCCTCCGATGTGCAAGTATTGGGCTGAAACATTCGGTTTGTGGTCGGAGCCATTAAAGCAGCACTCATTAAAATCCTGCAATGTCCTTTAGGAGGATAACCTGCAGAGATGAAACCATAACTTGATGTGATCACTTGGAAGCGGTGGGTATAGTGTTGACCTTCAGTGGTGCTTTTACAGAAATAAATAATGGAATTGATATTTGTATGTATTGAAATACAGGAAGTTTATATAGCATTTTGTTTCCATGGTTTGATAAATGGATATGTGTTCATAACTTTTGAAGTCGCCATCTCAGAGGAAGGGTTTTTCTTTTATTTCTTTGGTCCTGATTCCAACAGTTTGTCAGTAGTACAGTAATTTCCTGAAGGTCTCTCAGCTGCTGTCTAGTCATTTTTGCTGTTCGCATCATCTGGAATTTCTTGCCAGCTAACGGATGTTTTTCTGATTTTAGTTGACCTCTTGGTGCTTGTGCTGACAGGTGGAGATGGTTAATTTCGCAAGCTATTTTTTTATTTAAGCAGGTTTACAGAAAGAATTTGACCTAGATTTTTACATTTCATTATTGGTGTCCGTGTGTTTGCAGTGCAGTTCCTGCAGTGAATAAACAACTCACTGCAGAAGCCTCATCTCTGTATTCTTTTCTCCCCGTTTCAAAGGTCATTGATTAACTTATCCTTGCCGATACATTTTCTGTCCCTTCTGCAGTGTCTTGCACTGCTGGTTTTCACGGTGGTCTTGATTCCCCCACCCCCCACTTTTAAATGTGTGTAATGTTTCACTGACACTTCTTGGACTTTTTTGGGTACACTTTTGTAAAGTAACGCAGTATTATGACGTGCTGCTTTATGCACTAATAAAAAACTGTAAAATCAGGTGATCTTTGGTTTATGATAAATATGCTCCAGTTTAACTGGAAAATTTTTGACGCCAAAAATATTGAATTGGGTTACCAGTCGATATCGCACCAGTTAAAGAGCATACATGATTTTCAGGTGTCCTTGTCTGTAGGGCACGATCTTAATTTTCCTCTGCACCTTCATGACCTTTCCTTTCTTGCTGACAGGCATTGTGTTTCCGTTGGTACATAATGGGGCTTTCCTCGTGACCAATTTTTCGTTCTTGGAACGTTTATCGAACGTATTGGTATGTTCAAAGTGTCCAGTTTTCCTGATGTTCCTGGAATGTTATCCCACCGCTACGGTTAAAACTACAAATAAGAATCGGACTAAAGATAAGTGAAAGGCATGATGGAGTACTTAGTAACACTCTCTTTACATCTCAGAGGTCCTGGGTGTTATGGCTGGATGGCGTGTTATACGTGTATACATGTAACCCTTTTTATAAATAATTTTATTAAACTATTTTTCAACAATTACATTAAAAAGATGTTCTGGTGCTAATGGTATTGTGCTCACATTTGGCAAAACCTTTATTTCCACATTTTACATTTAACGTTGTTCTATCGTTAAGAACGTTCTCTGCCAGCCTTGAGAGGACCTTCACACAACTGCTGAGGTCCTGGGAAGGTTCCCTGTTAGCTGGGCTGTATCTCCTGGTTGATTTTTTAGTTTGGCTAACCATTTGTATATCTGATACCTACACCTTCCTCCAAATATGGTGGAGGTACTTAAAGCATGAGAGTTTGGGTATTTGGCTGCAGTTTGTCGTATTGAAAGAAGGTTTCAAGTATCAAATGGCGCTGATAGTCTGTTAAGGGAGGTGTAGTCGGGCCCCTGTCCTGCTGCATTCCCAGTACACAGGAGTACATATGTTTGCCATGCTATAATGCAGTGGATTGTTGTCCACGTCTGATGCACTGCATATGTGATGGATGTGAAAAACTCTTACGTCTTTAGAGTCATACGGAGACAGGAAATGTGGTCTGTATGATAACGAAGTATTCATGCTGTCTTGGATTTCACCATGGAGTGTTTTCAAGGGGATCCACCCCATCACACGCTTGTCTGTGATTCATGTCGGAAAAATATAGTGTCTGGTTTTAATATTTCCCATGTGCTGATATGGAAAGCATTTTAGAAGCAATGTGTTCTTGTGTACACACTCTGGCCTGGTTTTGAGTGACTCGGAGTGTGAGCAAAGCCAGAGTGTGATACGAGTGCACCTGAGTGGGATCTCTCTCAGTAATGTGGGGTGAGCTTTCAGTGTCAGGTGGGTGAGAACCTTCTCAAAGAATCTCTTCGTGAAGGAAGAGGTTTGATAAACAATGGTGCACTGGTGCAGATGCACTGTGGAGCTCTTAAGCAAAGTATTCTGTGTCACTTTGGACAAAAGCATTTGCTATATATGTAAATGAACACAAGCAAACACAAACCTCTGTGGTCTACACACTGAGCCGATGGTCTGTGTTAAGAATTCCATCTGCAGTGTCGAGCAGATATTAATGGAAACAACTAGCAGCCTTTGCCAGGCTGAAGGTAAGGTAATTTTCCTTGGGAGTAATTAAGTTTTATTATTAAATTACTTTGTGCTCATTGGTCAAGATTAAACTGAGCTTTACAATACCAAAAATAAATACAATATAAAATTATATATATATATATATATAACATCTATCTAATCACGTTTCACGGAGCAGGCGAGTACAGCCATAAAGACGGACAAACGGGGTTTATTTAAGGGCAGACTGGTGACGAACACTAAACATTGCAACAATACAATGACGGATCTGGGGAATACTGACTGAGACACGAACTAAATACACAAGACAGGTTGAATTTAAGCCACAGGTGATCACAATCAGGAATAAAACCCTAGGTAACGAGGTGGGCGTGGCACACACGAGGATCGTACGAGCCGGGCGTGACTATATATATATTTATCTAAGGGGCTTTTACTTACAGAAAATCACTTGTTGGTTTCAGTCCCTGGAGACAGAATGGTGTAAGATGGAGGCACATACCTGCAAACCTGCATCACTCCCAGCTCTAATATAACAACATTACCCTTCTCTCCCTTGCAATATACGTCACGTCCCGTTGTGGCCTCTACACCTAAACTATGGTCCCAATTTCGTCAAAAATATAAATTTAATCATTTTTCTATGTTGAGTCCTATATGTAATAATTTCCCTGCAGCCTGACTAAACCACACATTTATGACATGGCAAAAGTTATGTCTTGATAAATGCACTGATCTCTATACTGACAACACTTCTGCTAGTTTTTTTTCCCTCTCAGAAAAATTCTAATTGCCAAAATCTCACCTGTTTCGGTATTTCCAGATTAGACATTTTATTCAATCTCAAAGTCCATGTTTTCCATCCCGGCCAGCTCCTTCTGCATTAGAACATATTTTGCAAATTCCCCTCCATCCTAGAGGTCAAATTTCTAAAATATATAATGTAATTATGTCCATAAACAATACATCAACAGAAAAAAATAAATTACAATGGGATAAAGAATTGGGGATTGAACTGTCTGATGAAACGTGGAAGAAAGCACTTAGAATAGTAAACTGAACTACATCATGAGCCCGGTTGGGCTTAATTCAATTTAAAGTTACCCACCGTGTCTACTACACCAAAGCCAGACTTTCTAAAATATATATACCGCAACTTAGAAGAAACTTGCGACAGATGTCACTTAACCAAGGCTGACATCGTTCACATGTTTTGGTTATGTTATAAACTGAGAGGCTTTTGGGAATTTGTATTTAAAATTCTAAATGAGGCATTGGAGCTGGACATAAAACCTGGTGCTGAACTAGCTTCATTTGGAATACCAGGAGATGGAACAGTGTTGACGGATACAGCTCAGAATGCTCTCTCTCTTTTGCCTCTTCTTGCGTGAAGAAGGATATTGTTGGAATGAAAGTCCGCACGTGCTTCAGTGTGGCTCTGGGATCTAATATCCTTTTTAAAATTGGAAAAAATAAAGTATTGCATTAGAGGCTCAAGTATAACATTTACCAAAAATTTAGAAAAAATGAAAACTCTTCCCCCTAACTAAGTAACTAACTAACTAACTAATTAGTTGATAAATAAGAAATTGAATACAATCTACGACTGACCATTGATCCTTGGTACTCACCCACAACAACACATATCTGTAAGCCCAGTACTCATAATAGTAATTTATAGGGACCACTAGATTAATTTCTCCTTATGTTATTATTATTTTTATTTTATTTATTTATTTTTATTTATTTATTTTCAATTATTTTGATTATTTGTATATTCTCATTGTTAATACTATTTATTTACACTGTTTCATTTTATTTTGTATTAAAGGGGATGAGTGTGTGTGTGCTGGGGGGGTATTAAAATCAAGACCAACATTTGTACCTTTTGCATCATGTTATTGTTTAAAGTTAAAATAAAAAAATAAACAGACCAAAAGTATCAGGATAAGCAGTAAGAAAGTGACTCCAGTGCTTGACTTGGGCCAGTGTGGAGGTCCCCCCCCCCCAAATCAAAGTGAGAGGAGGTATACAGTTTCATTTCTGTGGCCCTTTTTCCAGGGGAGGCTCGTTTTTAGACGGCCTGCTTGCGTACATGTGCCGTTTAAAACTTAGCGGTGTACCGTAACTTGATTAAGTGATGCCTTTCTTTCTAACTCAGGAAGAGAGCTGCGTAATCTCCAGCAAAGCGGCATGGCTGTAGTCACCTGAGCTCCGTCAGTGCTTTCGTCAGTGCTTTCGTAAGCGCTTTCGTAAGCTGTCACAGGAAGTCGCCGAGTCTGATGATTAGGATTATGGTGTCTAGATAGTCCATGTCAACTTTAAAGGCTCCTGTGCTTGGCTAAATAGTTCAACAACGAAAAGCTTTCACTTTGATCCAGCGAGTGCTAAATGTGAAAGGGTGACTGTCTCAAAATGAAACATACTCATGATTTAAACAATCAAGGTAGGTAAGGGGCACATGCTGATTACAGTGCATTGCTGCACCCACCACATAACAAACCACCTCAGGGATGAGAACTTGAGTGCAGCAGGTGATACCACAACACCACCCTAGTCCAAATGGACCAGTGTGAGTTTTTTTTTCCCCCAGTTGCTGGAGTGCCAATCCTGCCACCAACCCCCAAATATCCCTGTAAGTTGGAGGACCTCCTTAAAGGCCCAGATGTAGAATAACATCATACCCAGGACAAAGCAATTGCAGGTAAAGGGCCTTGCTCAAGGGCCGAATGGAGTAGGGTCACTCCTGGCATTCTCAGGATTCAAACCAACAACTTTCCAGTTGCTAGCACAGATCCCGAGCCACCATTCCACCCAACCAAGGGCTTCTTGATCATTTGAGGTGAGTTGTTGACTGACCATCCAGCCAGCCAGCACAGCTGCGTAGTGGGCATTGTGCTTCTCTGCTCTGTGGCCTGCTGGTCAAGCAGGTTCCGGTGACGCCAAATGCCCAAACAAACTCATCAGGATCTGGCCAATATAATGAATGATTCTGCTGTTTAGCTCCCCATGGGGTGTTAAGTTTAATGCACAACTATTGCATATCCTTTACACAACCATCCTGCATAAATTAGTATTAAAAATAATTTGTACAACCAGATATGCTGTTTGCGCTTTGTCTGTTTCATGTGCTTCATGTGTTTCATGTCTGTTTGCTGATGTATGCAACCAAATTTCTTCTTGGGATCAATAAAGTATTTTTTGTCTGTCTGTCTGTCAACGCCCCACCCTAGAGATCTGTGGGTACAGTAATAATCACTGTTTTGCCTTTCATCTTATGAACCATAAGACAAGTAACAAACTAAGTAACTCTGTAAACACTTCTTTGTTAGGAATGTAAATTCTTACACCCTGGAAATTAACTTAATTATAATTTTATATAGGTTCATTAGAAGATTAATACAGACGCTCCTCTACTTATGAATGAGTTACATTCCAAATGGCTGTTTATAAC